TGATCAAATGCTTTCATCATGGTAGAATGGGGTTATATACACACCCAGCATTGATTCTTGTAGTATTTTTATAGAATTCTTGCGCAAGGTGCTATTAGCAGACATAAACAGACCTATAAGCAACCTACTGGCAGTAGATTTGAACTATCAGAAAGCAACTGGTGCAGCAATGTAATAGGGCCTCACTGTCCTGCAGTGCCTCTCAATAAAAGCAACAGCTCGGCATGGTCGAAGACCAGCTGATATTAATTAAATGAATTGATCTACAGCAACTATGTTCTAGTGAATCCTTCACATATAGCCTCCCATCAGACATCAAGGAAAAAAATTACTATTCCTACTGACCAAAAATTCAGGATCAGGGTAAGACATTTTTCAAATAGATTAATTTAAAAATATGATAGGCTAAAACCATTTATTTAAATGGAACAAACTAAAGCTCTAAATTGAATCTGATTTTGAAAAAGTCTTCTGGAACTTAGCAGTAAATCAGTTAATCAGCCAGTCAGTTTGTCAGTATGTATGCCTGTCTCTCTAGCCATTTATGAAGGCATTTGTACTTAAACATAATTATAGCCTTACTACCAATAGTATCAGTATTAAAAAGGATGTTTACTTACGCATCCATCAACTCCACAGCGACATCGTAATGCCGCAATAGCTTTAGCTCTGCTTCAGTGAACACAGATGTTCATTCAGTCTTATCCCTCTTGGGGAATATTTTTGAGGGCTTTTTTACACTGAATCTCAGACTTTTCTTCATCATTTTAACAACTTTGCTGGGGTGTGCTCAGCCCCATTAGTAACTTGTTTACCCATTGCGCACATATGTCGTACCTTGGTAGATATTTTTTTTATTATTATAAATTTACATAGAAGGGCATTATTTACTTACAAATTGAGCAAGAACAAAGTGTAAAACACAGAAATAACATTTACTATGATTACATGGCACAGTGATCTTTAAAAAAAATCTTTGTACACAACCGGAGCGAGTTATACTGTATAAATTTAAAAGAAACATATAAGCTGACTATGTCTCTATAAGTGCTCTTTAAAGGAGGAGGAGAATCTTTGTTCCTCAAGCTATCCTCCTCTAAGGCACATCTTTTTTATTCACTGACAGTTCACATTATTTTCTTTATCAAATCAAAATCTATGACTCATTTACTAGGTATGACTGGTTTATTGCTGCTACATTTACTTTACTTATGTATTTTGGTTAATGAGAAAATATGCAAGAACTGTGCAAAAACTACTCCTGCTTAGATATCCTCTATTAGTAGAACATTGTTCACCTAAATTATTTATTCATTGTTTTTTTGTTTTGTTTTTTTTTGTGTTTAACAGACTTGGTAAAGAAGAAACTCTTTGATCTGCTCTGTGTCAATCCATTCACTGACTCAATTGCATGTCCTCCCTATTGGAGGACAGCTAGTTCTAAAAGATTCCTGTTTTGCTTGTAGTGGAAATGGCCTTGGTGAAGGCACATAATTATAACTTCAATAAGGCTTGATTTCTAATCAGCCACACGGCTTGAAAGCACCTTTGTGCTGAGCTGTACCTTGAAAACCGTAAGGGTACTGTGCAAAGATCACAGTCAAAGTTAGAAAAAAAAACATTCTAAAGTGCTCAGTGCCTGTTTAAACATAACAATGTTTCATGCTGTGATTTTAAAAGAGTTAAGATTCTGCATGAAGGGTCTAAATGAATGTGGACCAACAAGGTTAGTTTTTTGATAGTTTGAGGGAGTACAAATTGTCATAGGATCTTACAAAGTTATTCACACCACCCATGGTTTGTGACATTTCGCAATGTTAGTGTCACAAATTCAAATGTATCTTAGGTGTTGGTATTTTCCAGAATAAGAAGTATGAAACAAAAACCTATAGTTAAAAAGTTTGAAAAGCACTGCATGCACAAATATTCATTTCCCCAATATATATAGCAGTGATTTCAAATGCCAATCCTCAGGTTTAACTGGAGCTTTTAGATTTGTCTCTGAAATGCTTCACTAGCATGCCTTTAGGCTCTAAATACCTCTGGCTAATGAGCTACTATATGAGTTGATACAGAAGAGACACATGTGAGACACATGTTAAGTCTGTTGGACACCAGCCCTTGAGGACCAGAGTTTGAGACAACTGCAATGTGTATAACTGGCATTTAGCATGTCGCTACCAGCTTTGTGGTGTCCTCAACACAATTGTTCTGTTTTTTAAATACACTGAAGCTCTCAGATTAAATGGAAACCATCAATAGGCAATGTGGGTGAAGCGTCTTGCCCTAGGACACAACGGCACTGAGAGCCGGAGCCGTTGTCAACCCTCCAGTTGCAGGGCAAACTCCTTCATCCGAAGCCAATGTCTTTAAATTTATTCATCTTCTCATCAATTACGACTATTAAAAAATCTATATAACATGATTTTAACACCACAATGCTTTAACACGAGAGTGGTGTATTCAGGTCATTGAGTAATGTTAAGTTTCTTTTTCCCCTAGCATTTTGCAATTAGGTGAAAATAGATGTTGGTATCATCAGAGCACCTATTAAGTTTGTGGTTTCAGTCCTGCTAACTTGAAATCGGGTTGGCTATAACTATTATTAATCAATGCCCTTCTTTTTGCCCCTCTTTAAAAAATGGAAAGTGAATGAAATAAAACAACCAAAACTAATAATCCTGTTGTCGAAAAATTCTTTAATTAAATTTGAGACAGGAAAGAATGTTGTCTTTCCTGTCTCAAATACCTCTACAATTATTTGCCCTAATGGTGGTGTTTGCTCCATAATAAATTAAGTGAAAAATATGACATAGTGGAGGATTCTATTCACTAATTAAGTGATTTCTAAAAACACTGGATATTACTCTAACATAAATGTTCTGAAGTCATATGCATGCCACACCTTTAAGATTTTTGCTTGTCTAACAATTTGTTGTCCATGTATGTTTTCTGTTCCTCTTCATTCTCAAGCAAAGCCATGTGTTGATTATGCACATTAAATACACTGAAAATGTCACACCCTGCTAACATGAAACAGTTGTTTTAAAGTAACTAGATATGTTTAACAAGTGGCAAAAGATGCATCAATTGATTTTTTCAATGTATTACTTTTCAGCTTGTTCTTGTAATCTAGCAGAACGATAGCTACTGCGTATGAATACTCTTGCAATGTCTAGACATTAGCTTCAATGCAACCCTCCATCCATGTGCTATTGCCATTTAATCCTTTCAGTGACACAACTGTGACTTAACCCTGCATGGGGAGAACATGCAGATTGCTTACAGAGGAATGCAAACCCAGAATCATCCAATTGGTAGTAAGACTGCGTTATCATAATACATTTAATAGTTACCTTACTTCAATTTAAAATGATGTTCTTTGAATTAGCTGTGGCTAAATTTAAGATTGATTAAGAATATGAAATTTAAACATTTTCATTTCTCAAAAAAAAAATACTTTATAACAATCTACACATAATTTACATGGTAGTAAATTCCTTTAGAACTGAGGATATTTGGAAAAACCAGTTCCATACATCGTATCATGAGAACAAATAAGTCTACCACATACCGATTTCCATTAAATCACCTGTTTAATTTCAGCTGCAGCCTTTAAACTGGATTAAATGACTCGGTTTGGTTGAACTGTGCAGCTCCTTTGGAGAACCTTCTTCCTCTCCAGGACTTTTGTTTTCCAAAAGAAATTTGGCTAACGCCAGGGGGCGACGTTGATCTCTCCAACACCCTCACCGGGACAGCGACAGAGCGCGCAAAGGGAGAAAACGAGAGCGCGCACCAGAACCAGAGAGAGAGAGAGAGAGAGAGAGAGAGAGAGAGAGAGAGAGAGAGAGAGAG